AAAAAAGCTCGGCAGGAAACCCAAAAAGGGGGCTGCGCAAAAATAAGAGCAAAGAACCCGCTAGGAATCCCACGAAAGGGTGACCTAGGCAAAAATTAGGGTTGCAAAAATGAACAAAAACAAAGGTCCGCTGAGACGCCACAAAGGGGTGTTTTAGGCAAAAATAAGGACAATCAAAAAGCAAAAGAAATCCATGATGGTACCATGAGCTGAATTCAAAAAGAAAGGTTCAAGGGAAACTATCTAAGTTGTCGAATCACAACGTCAATAACAAGACTTTCTTATTCTTATTGCTTCTTTTCTTGCTTGCAATAAATCTCTAGACCACATTATTTTAACCCTGTTTGAATAAGCATGAATGAGGTTAAAATCGTCTTAATAACAATAAACCCGCATCATTTTTATGTGGAAGTGTGTGTGACAACTTGGAGCACCTTTCCTTGGCCTCGACAAGTGCCATCATGGATAAAAAAGAAATCCTTTAAGGACAAAATCCTAAAAACAAAAAATTCAGGAACCTTCATCTCAGATTTTCCTAATTTCTCAGACTTGGACATATTTGCTATCTTCTTTGGTAAACCATGAAGAGAATAAGAATTCTCTTGGATATGACCCATCCTCTTGTAGTATGAGCATTGAAGACGACCACTTCTACCTCCTCTTCCTCCTCAATTTCCACGACCACCTCTACCCTGACTTGAAACCATTGCAGAAGCTTCAACAATTCCACCAGAGTTTTCATTCTTCATTTCAATAGGGACACGAAGAAGTCTAGTTATTAGGCTGTCCATTGAAGGAATCTCGTGGCCGGTCAGAATCTGGTCACGAACATGATTGAAGTCTGGGTGCAATGTTCTCAGGATCAGCACCATATATAGCCTATCAAGTTTTTTATTTAGTCCCTCTAATGAATCATCTGTCAGGAACATTTTTAGTTCTTCTACAACAGCTTGGGCTTCAACAATGTGAGACGTCATTTCATGATTAATTTGTTTCAAGGATGCTATTTTTTGAGCATCATCATATAACCGTTGAATATCGGTTGCATAAATATTTTGAGCCTTTTTCCAAAAAAGAACAGCAAGTTTTGAAGGCTCTAAGGGTCCCCAAAATATTGGGCTCAACCGACTGCCACAACACAGCACATAGTTGAAAATCAAGCTTCTTCCATTTAGCCCGACTTTCATCTGAACCCTCAGCGTTTTCCATTTCTAAGTGATCGTGGTACCCTTGACAAAGGAACCATAGTTCTACAGAGGCAGCCCATGATAAATAATTTTTTCCATTGAGTTTCTCCGTGGTTATGGTCGGAGTGCCAGAAATAGACAAAATAGGGCCTGGAGATGCCATAAGAAGATGGGTCGTGCAACAAGTATTAAGAGAGAAGAATAGAAGAACAGAAACGCAGGCCCACACCTTACATACAAGGTCTTCCATGGACAACAGATGAACCAGAGGTGAGGTCATTTTTTTCATGCAAGTTCTTAGAGGTCCATATGATAAATTTGGCCTCATGTTTACTTGTTAGCTATAATGGATTACTCAGCTCAGCATTACTCTTTTGATGTCACTTGTTATAATTGTCATGTTTACTTGCTAACTCTAATGGATTACTTGTTTACTTGCTAACTCTTTTGGTGTCACTTGTTACAGTGCTTGTTGAAACCTTCAGTTAAAGAAAGCACAAGGCCTATTGACCTAAAGCTTCATAGTGATATTCGAGCAATTGATCGCGCTGAATTTGACCAACAGGTGCCTCTTTCATCCATCTCTTCCTATTTCTTTCTCATTGTTACCTTGTATTTTCTTCATTTATTGTGATTTTTTGTGGGTGAAAATGCTACTACTTGTCATAATAATTTTAACTGCCAAATTCAATTGAGCTACTGATATATATTTCATTTGAGGAAATAATATTTTATTGTAGAAAACACAACAAAATATGAATCATTTGTTGGATGTTTTTATGTAGGTAGCAGAAAAAATGAACTTTATAGAACAACTCAAATTGGAAAGGGAAAGACAACAGAAGGTATTCCATCTACGATATTTCTATCGCTAATCTGTGAAACATTACTGAGTTACCATGTTTCCTTTTAACTAAAAAATGCTGATTTTTGTACTTCAATCCCATGTATAGTTGGAAGAAGAGGAAGAGATCAAAAGGTTGAGGAAGGAACTCATTCCAAAAGCTCAACCAATGCCTTATTTTGATAGACCTTTTGTCCCAAGGAGGTATTGGTTGATAAATTTAATAATCCTTAAAGTTTAAACAAACTGTTTCTTTTGCATGGTCTGTTTCATTTTTTCCATTGTTCTCTTTAGAACATGTCTCACTATTGTATTATTATTATTCTTTCTTTATGCTAGGTCAATGAAGCATCCAACTATACCTAGAGAACCCAAGTTTCACATGCCCCAACATAAGAAGGTTAAGTGCTTGTTATCATGGAATGACATGGACCCCTACTCCTCCTATCTCAACTAAGCTTCCAAGGGTCATTTGATGATATAAAGTGAATGAATGTTCTTTCATTTTCCCATCATTCTCTCCACTCAATGTTCAATTTTGTACATGGGCAACTCAATATATAGTTGCAAATTCTTTTATGGCAAGTATATTATAGTGCAATGATCTTTGTACCATGACTCATGGCATCGTAGTTGGATAGATGGTAGCTTCTTTTTATCGAAATGAAATGAATTTACATTTTTTTTTTGTGTGTGTGAGGATATGTCATTTATTCAATGAGTTTAATAGTTGTTCATTGTCAACCAATTAAAATAGAGATTTGTAATTGGATGACAATATGAAATTATTGTACACTATCATTATAAAAATGTTACTCACCTAATTATATCATTATAAAAATGCAAATTAATGGTAGTATATTATGATCATAAAAAAAATTTAATGTGTTCAACTTCAAATTAATAATATTAAGTTTTATGTTTAGATTGCTTTCTTTTTAGGTTATAATTACCTTCTCGATTTCTAGTGTCATGAAATTTATTTTTTAGTCCATATAATTAAGAGTATTTCATTTTAGTTTTTATACATACCATTTTTGTTTTCTTTTAATTTCAATAATTTTTCATAAATTTTATAGTTATTTGAAGGGCTAAAATTTTATATTTTAGTCCTTATAACAATGATGAAAACTAAAAAGAAACAAAAAATAGAACATTTTTAATTATTGAGACTAAATGGGTAATTAGATATTTTTTTTCAAATGTATACTTTTAATTTGTCTTTTAGTTCTTATAATTAAAATATTTTCTTTTAATCCTTATAGTTTTCATGAATTTTACTTTTTAATCCTTATAACAATAAATGATAGGAACTAAAAAGAAATAAAAAATGATATGTATAAAAATTAAAAGGGTAATTAATTTTTTTTAGAAATGTATGCTTTTAATTTGTCTTATAGTTTCTATAATTCAAACATTTCACTTTAGTCTCTGTATATACCATTTTTGTTTCCTTTTGATTTCTATACTTTAATATATAACATTTTAGTTGACTACTTTTATTTTTTTGGACATTTATAACAATAACAATTTAGGAAAAATATCATGGGATTAATAAAACTGAATATAGTTAGTTAATTGATTCTTAATAGGTGTGAAATCAATTTTTTTTCCTTGTGATAAAGAACATAAGGAGATGAGATATTTTGTAAACATATATTTTTATTAGAGGAGCATGATCTAATTTTATCATAAGCTCTCTAATAGAGAAAAAATATGATACAAGAATCAAATATTGATAGTATCATATCATAAAAATAAGGAAACAAATTACATCTAAATATTTGAAACATAAATAAAATATTTCTATTAAAACTAATTTATTCTCTTAAAAATATTTTAGGCATATCTTCGATAGAAGTAACATATTATCCTTTGACAATAGGTACAACTAATTAAAAATAGAGAAAGAAAGTTATGCATCGAGAATCTAACACAATTTTATACCACCATCTAATCACATTATGTTTGATAACTATATTAACTCTTATAATAATTAACTTAAAGTTATATCAACTAATTTTTTATCGATCAAATGTACAAGTTTTTACACGGATACATCTTGAAAATAAAACAATTTTCTAACATAAAAGAATATAAGCATTGTAGGATCTACATGGAGGGTAGTGGGGGCAATTGCTCCCACTACCATTTGATACATACATATTTTTTTTATCCAAAAAATAATATATTTTAAAAAATAAAAGTTATATTCTAATAAAATAAACATATATGTTTAAATTATCGTATGTATAAAATATAAATTCGGAGAAGATGTTCATTTATTTGATGTCTGTTAAACTTTTGAAAGAAATTAATTCTCATATGTGATAAAGAATATCCCTTAATAACCAATTATTTTTTTAAAAAGTTTAAATAAAATATATATATATATATATGTTTATCTTTTATGTTTTTTATTTATTGTATACGTTAATTAACAAAGTCAAAATAGGAAATATCAAAAGATCTATGTTTTATTTAGAATTTTTATTATAAAATATATTTTAAAATAAATTATCATATAAAAATTTATATTAAATATTAAAAAATATTTATATCATAAATAAATTAAACTTGATTTTTATAAAATTTAACATTTTTTTTATATTTTTATTAGTGATAAATTATTATAAAATAGGTATTTAGGATTGCAATTCTAACCAAACATTTAAAAATGTCTATGACAGATCAGTAAGTCATACTTAAGATATATATTTTTAAAGAAAGTTAGGTTCAAATCTACTAAATTATAATATAATTTAGTCTGACTTATCATCTTTAATTGTAATTTAGATATAAAAGCTTGTAAAAAATAATTATGATATATATTTATACTTTTAAAAAATCATATGTAAAATTTTTAATACTACAAATATATAAATAAATATTATTTTCACTATCTAAAGTTTATGAATCCATCAATGAATATAAATAACTCATTATATCATTTCATTCATAAAAATAGCATTAATACAGTTTGTGATGTGCCATGGTAACAAATATGATGGGAAATAATGGTGCTTGTATCATAGTTGGCAAAGATTCGGCAAATTAAGATGGTTGATGGTTCATAGACATGGTGACTAAAATAAAATCAAGACGTCCTAACAAGAATATTAATGCCTTAATTTTCTTGTTTCCGAATAAAACTAATTTTAAGAGTTTTGAATAGACCGAATTGCGTCAATACAATTTTGTAGAATGAATGCAAATTCTGAATCAATTGAGCAGCTGTTGTAGAATGGATCCAAACTCATATGGAGCCCTAAGTAGCATCCATGAGATGGCCTCTAGAAGATATAAGATTCTGCTTCATGCACCAGCATCCAATAACCGAATTGATCATTATCAGTAAAAATAGCAGCGTCAAGATTACACCATTAAGTAACCAGCATTTGGCTTCAGTATTGAAGTAATCAGTACAAATTCATCATATCTATATTCACAACGCTTTCTTTTGCTATTACCTATTATTTGGAATAATCCTTAGTTTTATTAGTAAGGACTAGTTTTCACAAATTTCACTATTCTCCACCAAATAATGCAATGTTTCCCCACCAAATAATAAAATTATTCTTAAATCAAACAATTGATAAACTACCATGTAACCAAGTGAAAAATTTAAAACTATATCCTCATTTTTCTTTAATATGAATATTGCCTTGTACTTGTCAATTTATTTTGGTAGTTCCATTTGTTTTAACCACACCTTTAAACGGTATCAAGAGATTCAAGAACACAAAACCTGTCTTAGAAACTCGAGCAATGCCAATTCACTTGGGACCTTAATGAAAGGATACCCACATGCAGTCTTTTGTATTTGGGGTTCATTATCTACAAATACCTCCCATCCAAGAAAGGACAAATTCTCTCGAGAGTTAGAGATGCAATTCTTTTCGGCATTATTTTCTTAATTGTTTTGCGCTATTTGTTTAGTGCAGTTGAGAGAAAGAAAAACAGGTTAATAAGAATTACTTCAGTTCATATCGTTCAATATAATGTGAAGATAATGCATTGCGAACTCGAAACCTTAAAAGACCAAAACTCCAAACTAGAATAAAAGTTAAACATTTGACAAAAAAAAAACAAATTGTAAAATTCTCAACAAACAATACTTAATTTTTCCTTGACGCCATCTAATAAGCAAACATAAATCCTAGAATATGCATTATCAGTTCTCAATGACATGTTCGATCAAGCGGCAACCACAATTCGCCCAGCAACTTGGTCCAGATCCCTTCGACCACTAGAAGTGATTTTCCTACCTCTGCAATTAAAATAAAAGGAACAACAAAAAACTTTAAATGCTGTAGAATAAGCTGCAGCATACAATGTGGTAAAAACATTTGAAAGAAATAGGATTGAAATAATCAATAGGAGTCTCAATCAATATCTCAAAGTAAAGACATTGGGTCTTAGCAAAAGATTGAAATACAAGTATGACCTCGTCCTAAAGTTGAAACACCAAACAACTGTTCCATAAGCACTTTTTAGAATTCAAGAATTAAGAGCAAAACAAGACATACCCTTTTGTATCAATCTCAACAATGTTCATGTTTTGCAATTGTATCAGAATGTGTCTGGCAATAGCACCGCTGCTCTTGCAGAAATGTGGGGGACGGCTTCCATTTCTCTTGCTTCCACCGTAGATCCTCTGGAAAGCACCAACACCAAGACCGCCTCTCAAATAGATCTTCCTTGCCATGGAGGCTGAAACCAAGGTTTAAATCCCATTAGTCTAACAGAAAAATATCACAAAACACCATTTACCAAGAAAATAACCAAAGTGTGAGTGCAAGCATTCATGCTAGAACATGCCAAACTTGCAGTTAGTTAAGTGTATACTCACCAGCTCTAACATAATACCAGTCAGGATCATATGGAGCCAGCTCCTTAAATTTTGCAGTTTTCACAATATCTGTCCACTCAGGAAGCTCCATCTGTTGAACAACCAAATACAAATCAACTATTAGAAGGGAAACAATATCCTTTAAGGTTCAAATGCCACTAAATTACCACTTAAAGTGAACACAAAAATCCAAAATATGCAACATTAACAGACATTGCAGAAACAACAGCAAGCACCATCATAATTCAACTCCAAATTAGGAAGCCAAGATAAATAAATAAATAAATGAATAAAAAATAGCAGCCAACATTCTGAACCTGAAAAATAAAGCCATCAAATATCTTCCATACACCAAATAATTTTTACACTTCCATGATCCCCAAGTATAAAACTCCCACTTTCTGACCCACAACAACACACATTGATTAATATTCAAGATTTTATAAAACAGTCCACGACCAAAATTGTACCCACACCATCAAGGTTTTGAGATCTACGCTATTGCAATTGTGGACTCATTTGTCCACAATATCAAGGATTATGACAAATCGCACTCATGACCACAACTGAAAACCCTAATATATTACATCAAAATAAATAAATAACCATCTACTTAACAACATAAAAGAATATTAATTCGTCAGAATGTCTGCACAACAATGAATTCACTAAACACAGCCGGGTATTAACTAGTAACTACAATTTTTCGGACATCATAAACATAATCAAAACAAAAACAAATTACTGTCATCACTACTAATTCGAAGCACATGTAACCTAAACCAAAAAAAAAAAAAAACATAAAGCAATACAAACTGCAACAACGACCCAGATGAAGAAGTGCATTGAAAAGTTAATAGAAAGAGGAAATTCGAGAGACCCAGAAAGGGAAAACGATCAGAGAGATAGAAAAACTAAACCTTTCCAGAACGCTTTAGGTGGGATGCATAAGCCTTCACGAAATCGTGAGGCGAAACATCCTTCACGGTCCTCGCTGTTGCCATGGATGAATCAAAGAGAAAAGTGGTTTTCTCAGAACTCAATTTCTCTCTGCTTAGGGCTAAAGGGCATTGTCAACTTTTTCGTAGTTCTTATAAATTCATCTCAAATTAGGGTTTTCGCTTCTTTTCGGACCATGCCCGACCCAGTTCTAATGGGCTTTACTTACGTATGCACCACCAAGTCCATTTTTTAGCTCAATGTTTTTTTAATATTTTTTTTAATAAGATTAGATGTATTTTTATATGAGACAATTTTGTTCAAAAATAAAAACAATAAATTATTTTTTCTAAATATTAATATACACAAATAGGATGATGGGTCTTGTTCAAAAATAAAAATTAAAAAGAAAATTATTTTTCTAAAAATTAATATACACAGTTTTGTATGTATTTCTAATTATTTTTAGTTTTGTGCTTGTGATTTATACAATGATGGTTCTTGGAACTTCAATATCTTGGTTATTAAGATTCTTAATGAAGCCAAAAAAAAAACTCATGAACCGTGTGTTGAATGAAGACGTGGAGGATATCATCATTTAGAGTCATTCTTTGAATGATATTTACTCATCAAACTCTACCTTCAATTGACTTTTTGCCGAGAAGCCTTCACTCATCTCTCCTTTAACAAGTTGGTTTTGGGTTTGGAAATTTAAATTACCAAGGAGTATCCTTCACTTTTTATGGCTTACCTTGTGTGATAATCGACCCATTGATGGAAGAGTATGGATCAAGAGTCTAACCACTAAAGCTATGGCCAGAAGACTACTTGAAGATTTGACTGCTTCAGAGCTTAGTGGCTCAATGGGCTTGGTGGGCCTACAGTTCTCTTCACTTGGGTCTTACATGGATGACCACCTTTATTGCATGTTGAGTAGTGTAGGATTTCATATTGTTTGATCTTGTATCAAGGACCTTAGTATAAGACTTTTTGGGCTTTAGGCTTATTGGGCCTAGTTTTGGGAATAATGGGCGTTTTGGCTTTTGGTACCCAATATTGGGCTCATTTTAATCCTTGTAATTTTTCCTTTTCATTGTATTTGATTGACCATTGTATTTAGGTCATTATATTAGGAATATAGAAGGATTTCAATATTAGGTCTTGTAGGCTAAATCTAAGTTTCATTAAGGTGTCATTTGGCATGAATTTGGATCACATGTTTTAAGCATGGATGAGCTGAACATGTGCGACCTAAATTCATCTCAAATGAGTCTCAAATGAAACTTAAGATGATGCTAGTTGCCATAATTCTCGGATAAGCACATGGCACACCAAAATTTGAATTTCAAATTCTATTTGAAATTTAAATCTTGGCGCCAAGCTTGTCATTTGAATTAGGCGCCAACTAGCTAGCTTATCGAGTCCTATATATTGATGTCTTCACTCTTATGTAATCACTTTGAACCTAATAGAGAATTCTGATCAGATTTGATTCAGCCTTATTCTCTCATCAAAGTCACCTTTTCACGCCTAGCTTAGAGCCTTGAAAACTTCTAGGTTTAGTCCCATTTGTGAGCAATTCATTGCTCACTTTGCTTTGGTGCTTCCTTCCACTTCAAGTTCATTCATCTTCTTCTCTTTTTGTTGGACTTGAACGTCTAGAATTTGGATCAAGGAAGAACTCCAAGGCCGTGCAACTCAAGAGTGAAGATCATCAATCTTCTTCACTAGGAGATGCCATCATTTTTTGTATCATGAGCATGGCTAACTTCTTTGAGGTTAAGTAACTTTTTTCACCGATTGAATTCTGTTCTACTGTTCTAAAATTATCACAAATTGAGTTTCCTTTGTGGATCTATAATTTTGAAATCAATTCCTTATAGATCCAAGTGTTGATTGTCTTTTGTTTCAAATCCGCAATCAATAGTGTTCTAGGATTCAACTTGTGCCAATTTTCTTTTTATTGAGTCAATTTTTATGTTAATCTCTTGATTCGGTCATTTTGAGTCATATGCATCTGATCCTTTTTAAATTTATGAATCTAAGTTTGTCTAAGTCATGTTTAGTTCTTGAAAATGTCAAAAACATTCAAGGTATGCTTGTAAACTTGTGCTAATACAATTTTGAGTCATTTTTTAGTTTGGCTGAGACTGACCTTCACCATATGTGCTTTGCTTTTGTACTTTTCTCTTTGCATATTTGAGTTCATATTCATCATTAGACCATTGATGAATTCCTAGAGTTAGGCTTCTATTGTGTTTGAAAAGTTTTCAAAATTCAAATTCCATCTCAAAAATTTTATTCATCAATTTTCTTCGATTGATAAGTGATACATCTACTTCTAGTGCATTTTTTGGTTTGGATTCAAATTCTGGAAAATTGTTTGCTGGAAAACAGAACAATATAGAGGAAAAGTGAATCAAAATGCTTTAGTAAAAGAAGAAAAAAGATACAAAAAGAATCCAAAACAAATTTTCAATTCTAGTGTACTAGAAATTGAGTTTTCACTTGAAATTGCTTCTTCTAGTAGATCCGGTTTTGTGAATCATTGCTATGTGATTTTCTTTGGTGTAAAAGGCAATTACCTTCTCTGGAATTGAGTCTTAAATTTAGAAAAGCAAAAGATAAGAAGAAAAAAAAAAGCAAGACAAAAAGGAAAAGCCGAGAAGAAGACAAAAGATAAAACCAAAGTTCACTAAGTGATGGATATGCTAATTTGACTCAAAACTTTTGGTGATTACTTCTTCTTCTTTTGGTTTTGTTAATCTACTCTAATGCCTATCTAGGAACATTCCTTTTTGTGTACTATCTTTCATTGGAGTCTTAATTTTTAGCTTTGTTTGATTGGCTATCTTTGAGTCTTGTCAACATAAACTTAATCCTTTGTTTGGTATAAGTTTTGCTAATTGTGCTTTTTGTTTTTGTCAAGTTTTCTTTCAAAATTCCAGTGCTGGAAGTGGCCTCAAATCCTTGCAAGAGAATCAAACATTGACTCAACAAGATTAGGAGGAGGAGTATTGCTAGTTCTAAGACCTAAGGACTTAAAATTTAACAAAATTTGGTGACCTAAACCTCTAAATTTCCAATCATAAGAGTGAACCTTCCTAATCATTGTGAGGAGCCATTGTTTTTGTTGTGTTTTGTTGTCAAACTGTGTAGGTTGCAAAGAGGATCAAGGACTTCAAGATTAGGGACGGATTAGTGAAAGAAATTGGTGGTTGGAAAATCTGTCTCTAAATCCGTTGCTAATTCCATTGCAAATCCGTCACTAAATTCTATTTTTTTTTGTGTTAGTTGTATTTTCTTGTAATTTTCTTTGATTCAATCAAATTGTAATAGCTTTGAGGGAGTATTAAGAAGCTGTTCAGGTATATCTAAATCCCAATAGCTTGCTTACATGTAGATCTAGTGGAAGTGGCTTGAAATATTCATATGATTTCAAGCTTCCACTCAAGGAAAATCGACTAGTTTGTTAATCTTTACTCCTTGTTTTTGTTTTAATTTCTTGTTTGCTTTAATTGTAACTTCGACTAGATTGTGTAGAATTTTAATTGCTCATGTTTAGATTGAAGTCAAGAAAATATTTGAAAATCATAAAGCATCAAAGATTTTTGTGAAAAGTTTTGTGGAATTGAGATTACCATAAGGGGGTTTAGTAATTTCCACTTGAAAAGGCTTGGTTATTAAGTGGCTCTTAGTAGCTCACCTCCCTTGATAGTGCAATTTGTATACTTAGACCTCCAAGTGTTAGTCTTGTTCCTAGAAAAATCTCAAAAACATTTTCTTTTTGCATTGCATATAAAATCTTCTTGAACTTAACCATGAGTAATCATTCTCAAAGTGGTAGTGATTTGGACTCCCCAAAAAGTTTTTCTCACCTTGTTAAGGAGATAAAATCACTAAAACTTTAGAGGAAACAAAAGGTACTTGCCAAAGAAAAAGAAAGAATTGAAAGAGAAGTACAACTTGATTTGCTTGAAGAAGAGATACAAAAGGTTAAGCAACAAGAAGCAAAACTTTTAGAAAAATTAAAACAAAAAAAAGTCATAAAAGTTCCCATAGCTCCACAAGCAAGAGGAAGTAGGAAGTTTAAATCTAGATGAATATTACCAAACTACTCCTAGGAGAATCATTAGAGAGCCAAAGGTTAGGGAATCAAGAATTGATCTCTCTTCTTTCCATGGAAAAGAGGATGTGGATGCCTACTTGGATTGGGAAATGAAAGTGGAGCAAATCTTCACTTGTCACCAAGTAGGGGAAGAAAGAAAGGTTCCTTTAGCCACGTTAGCTTTCCAAGGACAAGCTATGTATTAGTCGACAGCCTTAGTTAGGGAATGTGATAAGTGGAAGACTGCTTTTAAGACTAAGTTTGAACTATATGAGTGGTTAATGATGCATTTTGGGCTAAATAATGCACCAAGTACATTCATGAGATTAATGAATAATGTCTTGAGGGATTGCATAAGAATGTTTGTAGTAGTCTATTTTAATGATATTTTAGTCTTTAGTAGGAGCCTAAGTGATCATTTAGGACACACTTAAGACAAGTTTTGTTAGTTCTTAGGAATAATAATCGTTTTACAAATGTAGATAAATGTACCTTTTTTTGTAGATAATGTAGTTTTCTTAGGTTTTGTAGTTAGTGTTAAAGGGATCCATGTTGATCTAGAGAAAATCAAGGTCATCCAAGAGTAGCCCACCCCTAAAAGTATTAGAGATATTAGGAGTTTTCATGGTTTGACTAGTTTATATAGACACTTTGTTCCTAATTTTTTCGCACTTGCTTCACTACTCTATTAATATCTTATTATCACATTTTCCCCCTCAAATTCATGGTATAATTCAATTCAAATTAATCAGTTGATTTTTATTTTTGCTTAAGTGATATTTATTTTCTATAATTGCATTGAAGTGTAGAAAATGGCATTTAATATTACGTTCTAACAAGTAATTACTACTAAATATTAATTTCATAAAAATTAGTTTTGTAATATTTATTTAAATAATTCAATCCAAACTTTTGATAGTATAAATGTTATTAACGATTCAAACAAATTACTTTTAGTTTTTTTATATATAATTTTTTATAAAAATATAAATTATTTTATTTTTAAAGAAGATAAACAATATAAATTATATT